CTGCCGCTGCGACCACAACCATGACTTCGGCTAAGACCTCGCCCGCCTCTGCGTCCCCCATGATGCTTACCAGGAAGCCCAAGCGCACCGTGGCCCAGGGCCAGCCCGCGCCCACGGTGGAGATAAGGGCCGAAGAGCGCCGCAGTGCCGAGCAGTACCTGACCCAGCTTAAGGCCTCGCGGGCGCCAGCCTCTCCGGCTGCAGCCTCTCCATCAGAAGAGGACTCGCCACCCAAGAAGGCAGAGGCTGTGGCTGTGAGCTCCCTGATGGCCACCCCCCAGGGCCCCAAGGACCAAGGGGCCGGGCGGTCAGTGTCCAAGCTGAGGATCGCCCGGACCTCCTCTGCGGGCTCCCCGGACTCCCTGTGGCGGGAGCGAGTGCTGGCCCCCGTCCTGCCAGATAACTTCTCCACAGCCACCGGCGCCTGCAAGAGCCGGCGCTCCGTGCGGCGCAGCTTGATCGCCGCCGCCCCCGAGGAACAGCTGAGCCCCAAAAAGGAAGGCGCCGTCAGAAGGTCCAGCAGAAAGGCGGCCGCCAAGGAGCCAGCCGCCTCTGCCCGTATCATCTGTGAGTCTCGGGGCTCTGAAACGGCCGGGTGGGGAGCGAGGATGCTGCCCTGGGTGGGTCTTGCCACCCTGCACGGCTTGAAGTCTCTAGGGGTCCTGCAGGGCTGGCAGTGTCCCCTCAGGGCAGAGATGGCTGATGCTAGTCAGCAGCTGGGCCTGGCCTGTCATGGTTACATATGGGGCTGCCAGCCACAAGGTCAGTAGTTCGAAACCACCAGCTGCTCCAGGGTAGCAGAGTTACAGTCTCAGAAACCTCCAGGGGCCACTCAGTTCCATCCACTTGGGTCCTAGGAGTCAGAATTGACCTGATGACAGTGAGAATTTGGATCCTACTGAGCTTGGACATACTAGCCACATGTAGCTAGTGGCATCTCTTTGGGTAGTCCAGTACTTGGGTTTCACAAGTGCAGAGATAGGTCCGGGAGGCCGGCCGCCATGGCCGTGTGGTTCATGGCATGTTGAGACTTAAACCTGGGTCTTTGGGCCCAGGCCTGGCACGTTCCTCCCCTGCCCCCATCCTACCGAGGCTCACGACCCCCCCTGCCTTTGACATTACACTGTCCCATAGCCTGACCATTGGGTCGTTGTGTGACCTTGGGCAGGCTGTAGAATCTTCTTCATGGGCCGGAGTTCCTTGTCTGATGACTGGGGCTGAGGGTAGCGTCACCCCCAGGTCCCTGGAGGCTTCTCTGGCTAGTTGAGCAGCGGCCCTGGACAGGCCTGTGATGTGAGCTGTGCCCCAGTGGGAGGGCGTGTCAGCATCCGTGGGGGAAGCCATGGGGCAGCCTGAAGAGTACGCGTTCTTGAGACTAAAGGTTTAGGGGAGCAGGCAGCCTCATCTTCCTCCCAGGGGTGGCTGGTGGGTTTGAACTAAGGAAGAGAGGGAGACAAAGGGCTGTGGAGGAGCAGATGGGGATGTCCAGTGAGCACCGTAGGCTGGACCCTCTGGGGAGCCTGGAAGGATGCTTGGGGTTCTGCCAGGTGCAAGAATGTGGCGGGGGTTTCCCTGTGGAGTGAATGGCATGTGCCAAGACCGGGAGTTGTCTGGGGCTGCTCAGAAGGACCCTGGCACCAAGTGGACAATGGCTGGGAGGAGGGGGCACTAGGAAGAGGCTCATGGTGGGGTCTGGTTAAGTAGAAGCCACAGCCGCCTGCCCTCCCACTTGTGACCTGGAGGGTGGTTTCATGGGGTCCTCCCAGCTGGAGCCCCACCTGATTCCTCCTGTCCCAGCAGGCAGGCTGTACACATGTGAGGGCCTGCACCTTGGCAGGTTGTCCCTGGGCCCTGCTGAGTCACGCGGCCTGGAAAGTGCAGCGCTCAGCCTGTGCTGCACAGAGCCCTGGGCGTGTGTAGACGTGCAGCGGGCACACTGTCTGGATTTACATCTGGAAGGTCCCAGATGGCTCACCTCTGTCCTGGAGGGATCCTGGGGCCTGAGTCGGCTCCAGGAGACAGGCCTGGGGCTGGCAGCCTGAGCAGTGTGGGGAGGCTAGTCGGCCGGGTCATAGTCCTAAGCCCTGTCCTGTAGGGTCGCGTGAGTCAGCATCGACTGGATGGCAGGGAGGCCTGGAGCCTTCACCCCAGGCTTCTCCTTGGGTCAACCAGCCACCTCCCAGCCCACCAGCCTGGCGCTGAGCCCCGAATGACACACTGAAACTGGCACTTAACAGTTCTGGGCAGTCCTGGTGCTTCTGGGCTCTGTGCACCCCGGCTTCAGAGTCTTCAACCCCAAATCTACAGGCCACAGGCCCCTTGAGTGGTGGCCTTTGACACCCCTGCCCCCCTCCCCGTGTTTGCCTCCCTCACGTCCCAGAGGGTACAGCTGAAGTGCTCATGGTGGCTGTCCCCATCTGCTCCGGCAGCCCCTGGCGTATTACCCCTCTCTTCCTTAGTTCAAACCTACCAGCTGCCCCAGGAAGGAAGGTAAGGCTGCCTGCTCCCCTAAACGTTTACAGTTCCAAGAACCTTAAGGAGCAGTCTGCTCCGCCCTGTGGGGTTGCTGGGCGTTGGAACCGACTTGCCGGCAGTGGCTGTGGGATAGGCCCCATTGGGCGGCCTCTGTTCCAGCTGTACCTGTGACCAAGGCCCCCAGGATCAGAATGCCCAAGCCTGGTGGCTGCCTTTCACTTCCCCCTGAAAGCTACCCTCTGTCGTGCCTCAGGTGTGTGTGTGTGTGTGTGCGCG